GAATCACCTAAGCCCAAGAGCTGGAGGTTGCTGTGAGCTGTGACGCCACAGCACAACACCAAGGGTGACAAAGTGAGACTATTAAAAAAAAAACCCCAAACCTGCCTACCATTAATATCTTTCTGTTATCAGTATATATCTCAACGTTATTATTTATTTATTTAGAAACAGAGTTTTACTCTGACACCTTCTATAGAGTGGTATGGTATCACAGCTCACAACAACCTCAAACTCTCGGCGAAGCCATTTTCTTGCCTCAGCCTCCAGAGTAGCTGGGAGTACAGGTACCAGCCATAGCGCCCAGCTATTTTTAGAGACGGGGGTCTTGAACCTGTGACTCATGTGCTCAGGCAATCCATCCACCTCAGCCTCCCAGAGTGCTAGGATTACAGACGTGAGCCACTGCACCTGGCCTCTATTTATTTTTGAGGCAGTCTTACTCTGTGTAGAGTGCTGTGGTGTCCTAACTTACAGCAACCTCAAACTCTTGGACTCAATGATCCTCCTGCCTCAGTAGCGGGGACTACTGGCACCCACCACAATTCCCAGCTAGTTTATTCTATTTTTAGTAGAGACAGGGTCTTGCTCTTGGTCAGGGTGATCTTTTTTTTTTGAGACAGGAGCCTCAAGCTGTCCCCCTGGGTAGAGTGCCATGGCATCTCAGCTCACAGCAACCTCCAACTCTTGGGCTCAAGTGAGTCTCCTGCCTCAGCCTCCCTCAGCCTCCCCAGTAGCTGGGATCACAGGTGCCCGCCATAACACCTGGCTATTTTTTGGTGCAGCCATTGTTGTTTGGTGGGCCCGGGCTGGATTCGAACCTGCCACCTTGGGTGTACGTGGCTGGTGCTTTAGCCACTTGAGCCACAGGTGCCAAGCCAGTCAGGGTGATCTTCAACTCCTGAACTCTGACATTCCACTTGCCTCAGCATCCCAGACTGCTAGGATTAGAGACACCAGTCACTATGCCTGCCCTATATCTCAACTTTATTATTTTATTTGGTAATATTATTGTGTCATTTAAAATTTTTTTTTATTGTTTATTTTATTTTTATTAACCATTGCCAGGGGACAGTGCAAACGCAGTCCTCCACTACCACAAATTATGCAGTTGAGTTTCCCACATTTGGGGGAATCACAGGGTTCAGCACATCCATAGAGCAATGGATAAGCCTCGCCCTGGGAAAACCACATTCGTGATCATGGGATCTCCCCTGCCAGGTTAAGTATTATTTATTTATTTATTTATTTATTTTTTAGTTATTGTGTCATTTTTTTTTTTTTGGAAACGGAGCCTCAAGCTATCCCCCTGGGTAGAGTGCCATGGCATCACAGCTCACAGCAACCTCCAACTCCTGGGGTCAAGCGAGTCTCCTGCCTCAGCC